ACAGAACTCAAAAAAAACCCCTTTTTTTTCTCAGATGCTCTGTCTGGGGGGGTTGGGGCTTTATGAGTGTCCGTTGTGCTGTCCTGCCCAGCTAGGAGGCAGTCTAGTCACTATTTGCCTGCCAAGGCTCTGCCCTGCTGGTGTCAGGTTTGCCCTGTTGCTGCAGGCTCTGCCCTTCTGCTGCGGTCTCCGCCCTGCTGCCACAGGCTACGCCCTGTGGCGGAGTCTCTCTGTTGTAGTGGGTTGCCTTGGCAATGGCAGGCTGTGTCTGCAATGGGCGTGTACCTCAGTAGGGGTGGTTTGCCTTGGTAATGGCAGACGCCCCTCCCCCACTGAGCTCACCCTCAGGGACCCTCTCCACCGGGAGCATTTGGAATCGCCGTTTTGTTTGTCCCACTGTGCTACCCCAAACACTGTGTCCCTGGAATCTCCTGGGCTGGCTCACTGTCCAAGTCCTGTTCAGTCTCAAGTTCAGCCCTCTCAAGTCTCAGGTTGCCGGTTCAACAGGGCACCCGGACCGGTGCGCTTTGTGCGGAGCGCTGTGTAGCACCCCTAAAGCGTGGGCCCCCTGCTGCACCAGCTGCCGGCTGCACCAGCCAAAACCTCTGCCTGGTGTCCCGCATCTCTTTTATACCTGGGGATTTCCCCATTCTGTGGGCAACAAAGGTCCATCTGGAAATGCGGCCCTGACTCACCCTCTCCGCGCATTGACCATGAGCTTCAATCGTGGGTTGTTCTCACAGCGCTATCTTGAGTACTCCCTGGGTAGTTTCTCATGCGCTTATTGGTCAATCATATCTTCCTTTGTGAAGTGTCCAAGTGTTTTGCCAATATTTATACTTACTGGAATCTTTATCTTTTTATTGTTGAGTCGTATGAGTTCTTTGTATATTCTGAATACAAGTTCTTCACCAGATATTTTTGTGAATATTTTCTCCCATTCTGTTGCCCATTCATATTTGTAACGATGCCTTTTTATAAACATTAGTTTTAATTGTAATAAAGTTTTGCATGTTATTTATTTTATCTTTTATTTTTAACCAGCTTGATCTTTGTAGTTCAAGTGCTTTCTTGTAGACAACATATAGTTGGGTCCTGCTTTTCAATCCATTCTAACAATAACTGTCTTCTAATCAGAGTATTTAATAATTAACATTTAATATATTTATTGATCTTGGATTTAATGTGCCATTTGCTATTTCATTCTATTTGTTTCATCTTTCTTTTATTCCATCTATTTTTCTTTCCAGCCTTCTCTGGGTTAGCTGGATAATTTTAGTATTCTATTTCAATCTTTTGGCTTTTAGCAATAACTCTTGCATTTTCAATGAGTTCTCTATGGATTCTAATATGAATGTTTAACTTATCAAAATCTACTTAGTGTTAATACTGTACTTCTCCACATGTTGTATATGTATGTACAACAGTGCAATTACATTTATGTGTCCATCCTTTGGTTGCCATATTATATTACACAATATATATTCCACAACACAGTGCTAAGGTTTTTTGTTTTGAACAAAAACATGTAAAGAAATTAAGAGAAGAAAAGAAAAGAACATATACCCTTTTATGTTTACTATATCCAATGACCTTCATTCCTTCTGTTACTTTCATTTTACCCTACAAGGTCATTTCCCTCAACCTGAGAAATTTTCTTCAATATTTCCAGTGGTGCAAGCATAAAAAATATCTTTCAGAGATTTGTAGTGTTTATCTGAAAATATCTTTATTTTACTTACATTCTTGAAGACTGGCTATAGAATAGTGGTTGACAGTTTCATTAAAGTGCTTTTAAAATACTATGACAGGCTGGGAGTAGTGGCTAATGCCTGAAATTCCAGCACTTTGACAGCCGAGGAGGGCGCATCACCTGAGGTCAGGAGTTTGAGACCAGTCTGGCCAACATGGTGAAACCTCATCTCTACTAAAAAAACAAAAATTAGTCAGGCATGGCGGAATACGCCTATAATTCCAGCTGCTGGGGATGGTGAGGCACGAGAATCTCTTGAACCTAGGAGGCGGTGGTTGCAGTGAGCTGAGATCGCACCACTGCACTCCAGCCTGGGTAGACAAGAGCGAAACTCCATCTCAAAAACAAAACAAGGGCCGGGCGCGGTGGCTCAAGCCTGTAATCCCAGCACTTTGGGAGGCCGATGCGGGTGGATCACGAGGTCAAAAGATCGAGACCATCTTGGTCAACCTGGTGAAACCCCGTCTCTACTAAAAATACAAAAAATTAGCTGGGCATGGTGGCGCATGCCTGTAATCCCAGCTACTCAGGAGGCTGAGGCGGGAGAATTGCCTGAACCCAGGAGGCGGAGGTTGCAGTGAGCCGAGATCACGCCATTGCACTCCAGCCTGGGTAAAAAGAGTGAAACTCCGTCTCAAAAAAAAAAAAATACTATAACACTGCCTTTTGGCCTCCAATGTTTCTGACGAAAAGAAAGCCATCATTCTTATCATTGTTTTTCTGTATGTAATTTAATTTCATCTGATCGATTTCAAGATTTTCTCTGTCTTTAAATTTCTGTAATTATAACATGCGCAGGTGGTGCTTCATTTTTATTTGTCCTGTGGAGTTTGTTGACCCTCTTGACTGTTTTTAAATTTTTTTATTTATTATTTTTTTTGAGATGAAGTCTTGCTCTGTTGCCCAGGCTGAAGTGTAGTGGTGCATTCTCAGCTCACTGCAACCTCTGCCTTCTAGGTTTAAGCAATTTTCCTGCCTCAGCCTCCCAAGAAGCTAGGATTACAGGAGCATGCCACCATACCTGGCTACTTTTTTTGATATTTTTAGCAGAGACAGGATTTTACCATGTTGACCAGGCTGGTCTTGAACTCCTGACCTTAGGTGATCTTCCCACCTTGCCTTCCCAAAATGCTGGGATTACAGGCGTGAGCCACCGTGCCTGGCCCCTCTTGACTCAAGTTGATGTTTTTCACTGTATTTAAACAGAGTCAAGTCATTATATCTTTTAATATTTTTTTCACTTTATTACCACTTTCTTCTTCTGGGACAAAAATGACAGATGTTATAGACCAATTGATATTATCTCACTGGTTTCTCAGGCTCTCTTTCTTCAATCTTTTTCCTCTTCCTTCAGATTGAGTGATTTCTATATAAGTTCACTGACTTTTTTCTGCCATTTCCAAACTACTTGCACATCTGGTAAATATTAAAATTTCAGATCCTGGGGCCGGGTGTGGTGGCTCATGCCTGTAATCCCAGCACTGTGGGAGGCCGAGGCGGGTGGATCATGAGGTTAAGAGATCGAGACCATCCTGGTCAACATGGTGAAACCCGGTCTCTACTAAAAATACAAAAAATTAGCTGGGCATGGTGCTGCGTGCCTGCAATCCCAGCTACTCAGGAGGCTGAGGCAGGAGAATTGCCTGAACCCAGGAGATGGAGGTTGCAGTGAGCCAAGATCACACCATTGCACTCCAGCCTGGGTAACGAGCAAAACTCTGTCTCAAAAAAAAAAAAAAAAAAAATTCAGATCCTGTTTTTTTAGCTCTAGAATTATTACTTTATTTTTAATAGTTGCTGTTTCTTTTCTGAGATCCTCAACCTGTTTATTTATTATGCACATATTTCCATTTAAAAATCCTGAAACAAACTTGTAATAGCAGCTTTAAAGTACTTGTTTGCTAATTGCAACATCTGAGTTACCTTGGGATCAGTTCCTATTGACTGCTTTTGTCCATGATTAGGGACATACTTTTCCTGTTTCATTACATGACTACAGACTGGACATTATGTATGATACATTTTACTCTAGATTCTGTTGTGTTCTGATAAAAATGATTTTGTTCTAGTACGCATTTAACTTGGCTGGACTCAAACTCAAAGTCTGTTTCCCTGGCAGCAGGCAGCAGCTGTTAATCTCTTTTCAGTTCTTTCATCTTTCAGCTGATGCTTTTGTGCCAGGCCAACTGGGCTCTCCTCCACACATGCAGAGTTTAACTGTCAGACAAAGATTTCAGTAGATTTTATATGAATATTTTGTGCCTCAATTTTGTAGCTCCCTGCCTGGATTTTCTCCCAAACATTCTGGCTGCTCTGTCAGCCCCAGATTCTGTCCTCTGACCTTTCGGGCCACAGATATTGCACCACAGCCCATTCCAACAGCAGATTACGGAGTGCTCTTAGGTAAAAGGCTGAAAGCATACAAATATTGCCCACTGCAGTTATCTCTCAAAAGCAGAGATTTCTACCCTTGGGAGCTCACATGTACTGACATGAAAATATCCCAAGACGTAGTGTTAAATAAAAAGAAAAGGCTGTAAAATAATATGAATGTATGACTCCATAGAAATATAAATAAATATATACATGTGCATCTGGGTATATATACATATATTTCTGCCACCCAGGCTGCAGCACAGTAGCACGATCACGGCTCACTGCAGCTTTGACCTCCCTGGACTCAGGTGATTCTCCTACCTCAGCCTCCTGAGAAGCTGGGTCTACAGGGGCGTGCCACCACACCAAGCTAATTTTTGCAGTTTTTGTAGAGATGCAGTTTCACCATGTTGTTCAGGCTGGTCTTGAACTTCTGAGTTCAAGCGATCCACCTGCGTTGGCCACCCCCAGGTTGGGATTTCAGGTGTGAGCCACTGAGCCTGGCCTCCACTTTTATTTTTTAAAAGCTATTGTATAAGCACTCAAATATAAGTAAGCACACATAGAAAGGTATGGGAACCTCAGGCCATAGCTATTTCTGGAGAGGGGACTACAGAGCAGTGAAGGGGTATGTTTGTATATTTGCATGTGTACTTACATATGCAAGCTCCACACTATGAATTACTATATTTGAATTTTTACAAGAATGCATGTGGACCTAAAAGGCTGATGTTTTTCATTAGTCTCTTCATGGTTTGATGGCATTCACTAGCTCTCTGAGAACTACTCTTAAGCTTTAAAGGAGTAAATAAATATCAAGTGGTAAGAACAGTGAGCAATCGTTGTTACTGCCATTATGTGGAAACAATACCTCTTTCGTTTGGTTCAGCCGCGGAGAACATGGCCATGAAGCCATTGCCAGCCGTGTTGGCATCAGAAATCATCTGCACCATCATCTTGTTGCCATTGGACACCAGGGCTCCAGGCCGGAAAGTGCCACAGAAGCGGCCAATGCGCTGGCCATTGGCATGGCCATTGTACACATCCACAAAGTCATAGCGGCACAGGTTGTCACTCTCGAGGTCTATGAATCGGAAATTAAGAACAACTACTTTTCCTTCAGGAACCTGCCAAGAAAAGGGCCAATTAGAAAACTGTCATGAAAACAATATCTGAGGCTCTGACGTCTCGTCACTTACCTAAGTGTTGTGTAGATTAAAGTATGATATCCAAGATGATGCTTTTCCTCTCTCACATCTGAACTAAACCAAGGGAAGTTTTCTAGCATATTGCATCCCTATAAAAATTTAAGTACTTGTTTTCTTTTGACAAATTCTACAATTCTCCAGGATTCACAATCTTATTCCTTAAGAATTTATCTCAACAAAGCTCCAAAATATTAGATCAGTCTTATTATTGGATGAGTCATTACTTAGAAAGTATACCAGTCCTGATTGGATCTTAGCATATATTTGCAAATTCTAAAACACCATGGCACCCAGAGATTCTGCTTAGCAAAGAAACATTAAAAAATATCATTTCTTACAAATAATACAGTAGAACACACTCAATGTCTGTGTATAAAATGTTTCTATGAAGCTCAAAATGAAGGATTTATTTGCCAATTGTGTAGTTAATTTACAGATAATTCACTTTGGGTCCTGAAACATCCAGATGAACTACCTATACTGATTAAATGAACTGAGTAATTGCTGAATCATCTCTTCTGAATGACACTGAGTTTTTTGTTTGTTTGTTTTCCAGGTGAAGACATTATATGTCAGGAAGCCTTGAAACACAATGCACTAATGAAGAAAAAGATAAGCTTTCATTTTCTCATAATATTTTATTCATCATAATTTCCCCATAAAATTCTTAATGATGGTTCCTTCCTTATTTCCTGAGTAGGCAGAAAAAAATGGCTATAAAAGCATTTGGTAGGATTCTTGGGTTACAAAAGCCTCATTTATTTCCTAGTTCACACTGCCTTTTAATTTCTTCATTCAAGTTGTTAAATCATAAAGCCTTGATTATATTTGTTTTACCCCTTTAATTAGATGAGTTCTCCACTGAATAATGCAAGAATTCCATTCTGTAAAAACTTACCTATAACAAAACTCAGTGATTAATAAAAACCAAACACACACAATCAAAAGTGGTTGGCTTATATTAATCTTAATTAGCTATTTCAGACTCCAGGGTCAACCACCCATGCTTTGACATTAATACGGCTTCCGCATGTTGCTAAGAACAGTGCCACACATTTTATTTTCCTATGGTAAGATGAAGTGTTTTCAGTCCATTTGCTTTTTGTGTCAAACACATCTACACACCTCATGGTAGAAAATGTAATGGCATAGTCCCAAAAAGGGACATGTTTTGGCTTTGCCAGGGTTGCATTCTAATTGCTAGAAGCTTCTCTCAGTGGTGTGAATATCAGAGCAGCCTAAGAAGTTAACATCAGAAAGAACAATTTAATTTTTAAACATTATCACCAAGATGTCCGTTGTAGAACTTCCCTCTCCTTTGCTTTGTTTTTTGTTTTGCACACAACCTCTATTTTTGTCCAATGATCAGAAAGTTATCAAAATATGATGCCACATCTGTCATCTTAAATATAAACCAGCTCTCTGTGAATCACTAAAACATTCCTATCCATGAAAAGAATTACAAACTACTTTGTTTTTTTTTTTCTTGCACAAATAGTGACTACCTGTGTAAATGTAGAGAGGGTAATGCAAAGCTATGAAACTTGGTGAAGTCACTCTCAGAGTGAATGCGGACAGAAAAAGGAAGAGGTCTAAGTATAGAGGCCTGGAACATTCCAGTGTCATCAAGTCTGTGAAGAGGTCAAACCATAATAGAGATTGATTCAGCAAGTAGGAGGCAACCAAAGTGTGTGAAATCTGGAAGCCAGGCAAAGACATAAGTCAAGGATGAATGAATGGGCAATGGAGTTAAATGCTGCTGCTGAGCTGAGAAAGACCAGTGGATTTAGCAACACAGAAGTTTAGCAACCAGAAGTCACTAGTAATACTGACAAAGCTGTTTTGGTGGCACCATGGTGAGAAAACTGGATAAGAGAAGGATCATAAGAAAATAGGGTGAGAAGAATTGGTGACCATAAATGTAGACAAGCCTTTCAAGGAGTTTTTCGGTGAATATGAACATAGTAATATGGGGGTAGCTGGAAAAGGATGTGAGGTCAAGGCACGGTTTTTGTAATGGGTGCTTCCTTGGGCATGTTTGCATGCTGATGGGAAGGATTCTGTAAAGAGGGCAAAACTGATGATGCAAGAGAGAAGGAGAATTGCTGAAGAGATGTCCTTGAGCAGGCAAATGGGGATCTGATCTACAGAAGGCACAGCTGGTGGAACTGGCCTTAGTGGGAGCATGGACAGTCTTGCCCAGTGAGAGGAGAAAAGGCAGATATGTAGGTAGGTCAGTAAATGAGGTGGTGAAACCATACAGAATTTTTTTGTTCTGGATTGCTTTTCTTTTCTTAGTGAAATAGAAAACAAGGTCATCAGCAGCAAATGTGGAAGGGAGAGGAGCTATTTGGAATCTGATAACAGAAAAGAAAGTGAGGAAATGGATTCAGGAAAGGCAGTAGGAGTACCAGGAGTGCTGGGGGCCCAGTTGAAGTAAATAAATTAAAATTAAGACCTCTCTGCATGGTGGCGGTATTTGTTTTTGTTTGTTCATGGTCTTCTTCCCTAGGCACATTCAGCTCCTTGGGCAGAGGTGCAGGGCAGGTGGAGAGTTGGATGTAAGCAGTAGGGGAGAGTGGTGAGGTTTGCCAAGTAAGGATATAGAGGGAGAGAGGGGCAAGGGAGTTGAAGACATAGGTAAAGGAGTGATCATAATGAGGCACCACAGAATCCAAACTGAGTTAAAATGGAAATCAGGACTCAGTGGGGTGAGGTCAGTAACAATCGAGACAGTGGTGGAGTAAGGACATGGAGGTGGAGGTGGGAGGCTGAGGAACTATGGAGGGTAAGTTTCTTTGGTGGAGAGGCGGAGAAAGACCTGAGAAGATCACCCATATAGATGTTGAAATTACAGTGGATTAGGACAAGGAAGAGTGTTAAAGACAGTGACAGTGAACCAGAAACTAAAATTTGAGAGAAACAAGGAAGACTGTCCTGGAGGCTTTAGATGATTTTTTTTTTTTTTTTTTTTTTTTTTATTCTTTTTTTTTTTTTTTTTAGTTTTATTTTTTTTATTTTTATTTTTTTTAATTTTTTATTGGATTATAGGTTTTGGGGTACATGAGCAGAGCATGCAAGACAGTTGCGTAGGTACACACATGGCAGAAAAGCTTTAGATGATTTTAACAAGAAGAGGAATAGGGAGGTATAATGATGTTTCATTGGCAGGTTCTTGGTTCTGACACTACTTAAACAATTCTGTTGACTCTTTCCTGTAGTCAGGTGTTGAAATTAACTAAAGGACTTGGATACTTATTCCCAATAAAATAAATCATTTGTTCCCAAAAGTTTGTATCTGTTCCTATGGCAATGAAAATTTGAGAATGAGACACAAGTATGATCAGCAATAGAAACTGGGTTACATTATTGCAATTTTGAACACATGCTGACCGAACAACCCTGGCAAAGCTTCTTTTGAAAGAAGGATGCAGAGGTGATCTGTACCAGTGTGAGTCTCCTATAACCAGAGACAAATGTCATCTTGCATAGAAAGCCAGAGAGAAATTCTATTGCAAATGAGATGCATACTGCTGTGAGCCTTTTCAGTATAATACAGCATCTGTTCTTCAATTTTTTATATGAGTGATCAAGATCATCTGATGCCCTCTGATGCAATCTTTGATAAGAGCTCCTGTCATTCTAAAGGACTTTAGAAAACACATTCTCTGAAGATGGCCTTTCCACTTGGAGAATCTACAGTCCATGTCCTTGAATTATTTTAAGAATATCTAAAAAATTACAGAATACACAGAATAATATGACACCTGGATACCAATTACAAAATTGACTTTGGTTAACATTTTGTTAATACATTTTTAAAGTCTCCTTTAATGAAATAAATAAAACATTTCAGATAAAAATGAGATTTCCTTTGTTTTCATCTCAGGACCCATTTCCTTCTCCTTCCTCAGATGCAATGACTGCCATAAATTTAGTAGGTTTCCTTCCATGCTGATCAAAATATGTGTGTGTGTATTTATAAATATTTATGTGTGTATATAATATATAGTTTAATGTATTATATATATTTAATATATGTTATTTATAATATACATGTATACATACAAAATGCACAGTCGTGTTTTTGTGTTGTTTTAAAAAATTAACAAAAATGATGCCAGGCTCACGCTTGTAATCTTAATACTTGGGGAGGCCGAGGCAGGAGGATCGCTTGAGTTCTAGAGTTCAAGACCAGCCTGGGCAACATAGGGAGATTGTGTCTCTACAAAAAAATTAAAAAATTAGCCAGATGTGGTGGTACATGCTTGTAGTCCCAGCTACTTAGGAGGCTGAAGTGCAAGCATTGCTTAAGTGTGGGACATCAAGGCTGCAGTGAGCCATGATCATACCACTGCAATCTAGCCTGGAGGACAGAGAGAGACCCTGTTTAAATATACAGAGAGAGAGCAAAATGGGATCGTGCTGTACATATCACTTCACAACCTGGGCATCCTTGAATTTTCTGGCTGAGGAAGAAGAAAATAAAAAAAATAAAAATACATAGGGCCTTCACAAGCTCTTTCTTCCACCTGGAACGTGTTCCTGCTTCTGACCTTCTCTCACTCATACTTAGGGTCTTGATTTCAAGGTCACTTCCTCCTGGAGGCATGCCTAGACACCCCCCAAACCCCAAGGTGGGCTCTACCCAATTAGCCATGCACCCCTCAGGTCTGTGTGCATTGGATGGCTCAGCCCACTCACTCACTATATGTTATAAAGCTCCCCTTGAGGAGGCAAGGATCCCTCCTGCCTTGTTCACTGTTGCATCCCCAGGCTCTGGCATGGCCCCAAGTTAAGGCTTAACATCAAAAATATTTGTTCAGTGAATAATCCATTAAGTATTCAATGGATCACCGGCTTCTTTGCACAAATCACAGACGGTATACCTATCCGTGGCTCCACCTCTTTCATTCTAG